AGTTAATCAGATTAACCAAGCTTGCCTTAAGCATTTTTCTCAATTAGATAGAAAACGGTGAGAGACGATGGTATGAGCTGAAGAACATCAAACTGTCATCGCCGGCCAAAGGTCAGATCGAGCTTGAAATGTTCATCTACTGGAACCCGGTAAAAGCTTGGTAAAAACTTCACTCGCCTTCGGCGATAGCAACGGTTTCAGATTCGGGCCGGCATCAGAACCTTCCAGCCAAAGGAGAAGAAATTCATGATCCAGGACGAACGGTTCAAGAGGCAGATATTCATGCACAACGTATCCAGACTCAGGACGTTGGTACTCTCGTTGATGGTCAATGTCGCCGCTGTGCAAAAACTCCTGTCATGGGAAAAACCTGTCCATTCGCTGTTGTCGCTGATCGTATAACTGTTTACACTACATAATGTGATTTACGTCGTCAAATTTAGGTCTTTGTAGCAGCTACATATTTCTTCGAAATTTACATGATTCCTTTAGCACTGCTGTGCGTTTTTGCTAATGCGTACATTTGCAAATACGTTTACCAGCGTAGCGGAAGTATCGACAAGAAAAGCAACGTAATAATGAGGTTAGGAGTTAGCGATGAGATTATTAATAGAGAATTCTTAGGCGCATTTGCCAGAAGAAGAAGAAGAAGACGTCAACAGCGAAAATGAAACGGTTTGCAGTTCGCTTTTACGAAAATAGCGACACTTATCAAATATCTCATTGAAAGTGAAATTTCTAGACAATCTGGTTAATGGGTTTAAATTAACTGAATTAATATAATATTTTTTCTTCATTAATCAAGGATTATACGATTACCGTTGAAGCTTGAGCAAGGTCTTGTAGCTAAAGCCTCTTTGAAGTATATTGAACTTGATGTGAAGACGCCTGGTTCAGGATCATCGTTGAATAGGCATGAGAGGGAGACAGGAAGACAAATAGAGTTTCGAGGTGTTTGGAAGTTTGAGAGTAGAAGCCGACTTTACTACTTACGTGTGGGACACGAACAAGTTCGGCTCCAACCCTAGAGAAACCTGAAAATTGATTTTCTTTTCGTTTGCTTTAATTTAAATCACTGTCTGGATTGTCGAAAAATATTATTCTTTAAGATACGCTAATTACTGTGGATATTGCTGCGCATTTATTTTAAACTTAAAATCATTGTATCCTCACCTTTTGTTTCCTTCTTTTAGGAAGTGAACAGGAGTATTCACAAGCGTTTGGTAGCGGCTCAAGACACCATGGCAATGGTACAACAATCCCTGGGCTACATAGCAGGGCTGTGGGAAAGGACCAGAAAGTAACAGCGTGTTCAAACAGCGTCTATGGGTATCTTTATGAGCGCTTCGTTTGTAGTACATTCAACTTTACACGACCGTTTCTATCTTGGCTGGCTATTTTCGTGCTGTCAGTGGCGTTCGTGATGCTTTACTATATCCCGTTGCGATGGATCATCATTATCTGGGGCAAGTACAATTAACTCTTAATGTTAAAATCAAAAGTTAGTCAAAATCAGAAGAAAGAGATTATTCGTTTAGAATCACAACGAATTTGACGATCCATGATCGAGGGCGCTGAAAAGGCAGCTGTTGAAATTTTTACTGACCTGTCTATTTGCTTCCCTCAACCACCGATTGTCAAATTTGCTACAGTTCAAGCAGTTAACTCAGAATCGTAAAGAGGTTTGCACTAAGCACACAACAGTATCTCTGTATGATGTAACACATAATGTAGTCATATGAGCTTGGATCGCCTGAAAACTGTACACGGTGATACGTTTCTACACTTCCAGATTCCTCAGTGCCCTTGGCAGGAACGGAAATATTGACCTGC